GACGTTCAACCGTTCATTTATCTGTGTTTGCCAAAGTAAAAGGCAACCTCGACGTTATTCGGTTAATCCTCCATCGATCATTCGATATTCGACGTTTCACGGAATTTCACGATTTTACGAAATTAACTTCCCTTCTTCTCACGTTACACGTATCCATCCATATTTCCACGCATGATATCGTCTCGTAGAAGTTATACTTGAAAATTCGATTTTACGCGCTCGAATTTTAGATTTAGCACGTTTTGACGCGTTCTATTTGTATTTTATTTATTAAAAATTTATATTTGGAATTTGATCCAACATTTGATGGTTACTTTCCCACGGACGGAGCGTTAGGGATTTTTCCTTGGATCGGGCGATTTTGAAAAATTCATTCGTCTCGTCGCGAGGAAAGCATCCTGTCACGGTTGACGTATTACTCGTCGCTCACTATCGAGCAAAGGTTTGTCATCCTGTTTCAAACGGGTGCTCACTCCGGATCCGGAAAGACTTCATCGATCTTCAGATAGAATGTCACATCAGTCGGTCGTGATTCGAGCACACGAAACGACCAATCGAATTACGTTCTTGAATTACTCATATCTGCTCACTGTTTGATCGGGCATCGGGTACGAATCGAGGAAGGAGCTTGAATTTTAATCCGGGCGGACTTGTTTCGAATACATTCGGGGCATTTCGATTCCAATCTCGCGTATCGTGTATTATCGTCGAAAAGAATCACGTTCCCCTTCACGATCGATACGATCGCTTCCCTTTCCAAGAGATCTCCTCGTAATAGACACCGAACGAAATTGACTTTTCTCGTATTAATTATTCGCGACGCGACGAAGGAGGAGAAAAAGAACAATTCGATCGATTTCCCGTTGCGTTTTCGTTCGCGGTGAAAAAAAATTCGCCAAGGTTTTTTTTTCACCTCCCCTTCACCCTCTCTCTCTTTTTTTTTTTTTTAAAACGTTAGAAGTTTCACCGTGTCAATGTTTTGCGCGATCGCGGGACGTTATCGTTGCGACGATTCCTGGGAAAACGGCGTTTAAACTTCGGTTCCGATGGCAATATCGGGAAACGGCGGGAAGGGAAAAGCATAGAGAAAAACAAAACGGAGCCGGGGCCGTGGAATATCGTGAAACGAAAATAATCGCGTTCGGTTTAACAACTCGTAACCTTTTGGTTAGTTTTTTTTTTTTTTTTTCCCCCCCTCCCCTCCACCCTCTCTCTCTTTTTTTTTTTTTTAAAACGTTAGAATTTTCACCGTGTCAATGTTTTGCTCGATCGCGGGACGTTATCGTTGCGACGATTCCTGTGAAAACGGCGTTTAAACTTCGCTTCCGATCGCAATATCGGGAAACGGCGGCAAGGGAAAAGCATAGAGAAAAACAAAACGGATCCGGAGCCGTGCAATATCGTGAAACGAATATAATCGCGTTCGGTTTAACAACTCGTAACGTTTCTGTTAGTTCTTTTTTTTTTTTTTTTTTTTTTTCGGTCCCCATCTCTCGGCGTTCGCCCGCGCATGCATTCGTATCGACAACGATCCACGGTCCCCCGGTATTTAAATCGGTTATCGACGCGCGAATCCACGCGATCGCCTATGCGGCCCGATCTTGTCAACCCGATAATTATTCCTGCCTTACCCGTCATCATAATCGATCTATCTTTCTGACTCCGCGCGCGCGCATGCGTGCAAAACGTTTTGTACATTTAACACGACCGATTTCTTTATTAAGTTGGAGGCAACCGATCGACGGGATTTCCGTGTTTCGATTCGACTCGACGGAGCATCGAAAACATACCGTTGCTAGATTTTCAAATCGATGTCTACCATTTTTGCCCGTATTTGCCACACCGACAAACGTTTGCCACATCGCGATTCTTTTTTTCTTTTTTTTTTTTTTTTCTCCTTTTTTTTTCACCCCCCGTCAAGCTCTCGATGCTCGTTTCGCGGCCTGATTTTAATTGATTTCGAGCGGCCGATCGACGATCGGTTTTAACGCGCGCGGATTTGCTTTCGTCACGAGATTCATTCGTCGTGAGTTGTTTATCGGAAAACTTTTTTAAAAGAATCTCGCGGGTATTGCGTATTTCAGTTAAGAATCTAGTTTTTATCGCATCATAGCTTGGAATCATTTTTTTCCCCTTCCTTTTTCTTTTTCTTCTTTTTTTTCTTTTTAACGTGATTCAATTAATCACCGTTGTTTGTAATACACGGTAATTGATCCAGAACTGAAAACACGTTTTCACAGCGCGGAAAGATTAATACGTAATGCAGAAATAGTCCCCGTTGTTAATCTGTTTCGGTAAGCCGGTTTATTAAACGTGCGGTTATCGCTTCGTTAATTACGCTATTTGAACAACGAGCTTATTACCAATACCGGTTTATTGACGTTCTAACGTGGATATGTCGCGTATCACGCGGTAATTCGAAACAACACGCGAAAAACGGAAACGGTGTCGATATTTCGCGTCATTGGAATAGAAAAGCTATTTGCGCGAATGTACGCGTGTGAATTCTAATCGTAATTGAATATTATGATAGTATACAAGGTATAATGATGTAATGTTAAAATATTCCGCGCAACGATCTTAAATCAATTAGAAAATGAAAATATTACGCAAAACGGCACTAGCCGTTTGTTGTTTCGTTTCTCGATAAGCTTTAATAAACTTATTTCGCGTTTTCTCCACCATTACATTCTCCGTCTCGAAAATGTGTTTTACTATTATATTCCGCTGTTCTGGTTTGTTTTATGCAAGTTCGTATATCAGATATCCGGTTACGGTAGCATGTCCAAAATTTTGGGAAAAACCGTATCAACGTTACGAAGAAATGTGTAAAGAGGAATAAGAGGATAACACGAGGAAACGTTTCTTCAAAAATATATTTATTTTGGTTTACCATTATAAGCCCAAAATGTTAACGCAAGCGGAGATAATTTTGCGCGGAATTGTAGAAAATTCGTTGATGCGAGAATTTTGGGAAATATCGTATATTTTTTCCCTCCCTTCTTTTCGACCACTCTGTATTTCGTCCAATTGATACCACGATAATAAATTGCTTTCGACTGCATCCAGTATCGGCAATTTTACGTTTTAATCATATCTTTTTTTTTTTTTTTTTTTCCCC